TAGGATAACTGTAGGATTTAGTAACATTATTTTCGAAATTATACTGCTATGAAAACTATACCTTGCACAAGAATTTTAATGCAGACTAATTGGATTTTCTAATTTTATCAACGCTATTAATTTAATGAAAGTACTGTATTTTAACAAGTGTTTTACGCAGAATTGACATCATAATTACGTAAATTATCAGTGAAATCGACTACTATTACGCAGTATCACTCTGTCATTTGCAGAAATCTAGAAATCCTCGTGACTGTAATATTGTTGAAGAAAATTCAAAACGGATTCGCAATTCAAAGTTATAATTAAACCGATAGAATCGAATAACTTCAGAGTTGTTTTTTAATTAACGTTTCTTTCATTTTGACGATTCCAAGTTGAAATCAAAATTCGAAATCTCGCTACCAAAATAACTCGCACAAATTAACGCCCGAGCCGGATCGATAGACGAATAAAACGACGTACAAAATCAACACTTATTTATTATTTACGGATTATTTTATGTTATAGAGTCTACGGGTAGAATAAGGAACGAGCTTTTTCGAAATTTCTATTATCCCTCAACGACATATTAAATATTAATTATCTCAATGTCGTTTAATTGTTGGGTCCGTTCACCTCTTTCCTGGGCTTTTTATAATTTCAATTAAATTTTAATCAAGATTGAATAATATTTGCTCTAATTTCCGACGACACTGACGTCGGACGGTGTGACGGAGGTGCGGGGGAACAAACGGGGCCAGTTAAACAAGGCTAAAGCTCGAATTTTAATTCATCATTCGTTGATGAAAATTTTAATGGGTCCTCGCAAAATTGCAAAAATATTGAACCACCTAATGAAAAACCTGACAAATAATTAGCCAGTTTGTGAGTGTGAGCCCGAAAAAAATATAATTAAAATGGATGATGGAGATAAATGTTTGTTTATTTATTAGATTAAAAAATAATCTCGAAATGATAGGTATAATGTAGGTATTTTTGTGTTTCGCAACAGATTAATGCTTTTTGAAAAATCAAATTACATCGGAGCGAAAACTTTAACAATTTCTTAGAAATCACGTCTGTAAACGTGATTTCTAACACCGAGAAAACTTTGTACAAAACAATATAAAATTCTTTTGGTTATTCCTTATTTTCTACTGACCTAATTTGAGTCTTAAGTTCAGAACTGAGGCAGCAATTTTTATAATACATTTTATGAGATCAGCTTACTAAAGAATTTATTTTGGATATATAAAAAATTGGGAAACTCTAGATGACAATAAAAAACAAAAATCGAATACTCAATCCTCATAATTACTACAGCAGGTGCGCTTTTAAAACAATCTAGGTTACACATACAGTAAAAAACCGGCTCTATATTTAGTCAGTAAGTATTGTTTTGGTCAGACGACATTTTTGGCATCTTGATCCATAATAATTCGGCTACCTCATTTCGATATTTAAATTCTTATCAATAATGAACGTCCGAAACATCGCTGTATCGTCGCTTGGAAGAAAGCTTGTTAACTTTATGACGTCTGCATTCCTCAGAGTGTTTCATATAATCGAAAAATCTTGTTACGTTCGGATTTTAAGTAGAAAGAGTTGTTAAAATAAATCGTACATGTTTGAGACTAATTACCCTGGGTATAAATAAATACCTGCCTACGAAATGACTCCTAATTTGACGGTGTTTGTGATAAAAGAGGATGCTTAGTGCTTATTTTGAACCTATTATTTTTTATGTTGATGCTATACTGTAAAAGATGTAATAAAAGGAACAGTTATTGGGATATACAAAAATGATTTTCTACATAAATAGAAGATACATAAGTAGAAATTGTAGATAAGCAAAAGTGTATATAGTAGAACAGTCTCTGAAAACAGGAGCAAAAATATGTAAAAATATAAAATGAAATAAAGTTGTCAGCACAAAGTAAAGTTTGACATATTTTGATACATCAACCTCGCATACGAAATTCGAAAATAAAACATTTCAACGATTATCTCCAATATATTTTCGAAATCAAAAAATGAAAAATAGAGTTATTTGTTCACTCCGAGCAACAGAAAATATGTGATCAAAAAGTGAAATGTGATATATCAAGTGACATTTCAACTAAACACGTATACTCTATACATATGTAAGTATGCCAGTATGAACGTAATGTTCATACGCGAAGCTTCGGGTGTGTCATATTTCACTAAGATCGTTCCTGGCCTACAGCCAACGTAAAGCTTTGGGATTACATAAGTGTGATAGTTCAAACAATGCAAACGACCTCACGGTGCCCTCCTATTATTTCAACGGTCGTAAATTTTACTTTTTGCTTTTTAATGACCGCATCCTTTTTTATTATTTCATTCGTATTTACTGCCCAATATGATCAAAACCCATAACTTTTAAACAATAGATACCGTATGTGTATATAAGAATTTAATATTTATTATTCCATTTCAGTTAGGAATGCAGGTACACATTTTTTAGTTCGAATAAGTTTAATATTCAAATTTTTAATCAAACCTTTAAATATCTTTTTTAAACAAAGTAAGTATCGAAGGAATACAGGAAATCAATTCGTTTATTGGAATTTCAAGAAATCCTTACGTCTTGTAGATGCACTTACATCGACTTCAGAACAATTCGGAGCATGGAAGAGCAATAAATAATAGATTTCCTCCCGTGCACCTCTGCCTTAATCGGGTCTTGTATTCTGATTCACGTATTGCGAGATTTTCGTATTCAGTAAGTTTACCAAAACTTTAATAATTCAGAAGCGCACGCCCGCCAACAACCTCCTTAGCTTTGTCACTATTTTGTGATGTATGTTCCTCCATAAAGCAAGCTATAATCACTTGATGTTACCGCAAACTTGGTATATGTGTCTCGTTACAAACTCTGCACCGACTAATTGCAACTAGTGATATACGGCTAACCGGAATGTAACAGATTTTAATTGATGAGCAACGTAATTTCTTCTCTCACGTCAAATCAATTAAAAAAACTCTTCGGTATTAATTAAAAAAATGGTTGACATTCATTTGTGCGTTGGTGTTTTCGAGTGTCAAAATTCGCGAAGGATTGTATGCAATTCGCACCTTTCGGACACCTATCTACCTGCTCACTTGTTACTGCTTTTCATTATTGTGAAACTGCGCGAATTTTTATTCGGTTTTTCAATTTCGCTTCAACTATGATATTCATGAACGCCGAAATGTCACCATAAGCTCTCTCGATGGTTATGTAGAATTTTGAAACGCGTTTGTTCGTTGACCAATTCGAACTGAGTGTTAAGTTGGAAAAATGAAACGAAGAAAAAACATTGCAATACAGTGTCGCAGGAAAATAGATTTTACAATGCCATTACTAAGTTTAAAATAATCTCAATAAATTAAATGACTTATTGTTGACAAAATTTATTTAATAGGAGAAAATAACATAATGATGAGAAGGAACTATTTGTTGAATCATTGAAATACAGGGCATACACCAAAATTAATTGAGACTAAATTAATTCAAATCCTAAGCTTATTTTCTAAGCTAAAGTAATTCGAATTTGATTTCTCGCATTAATCTTATTGGTTCCTAAACGAAGTTAAAAATGCATTGAATATTGTAATGTAAGTTAAAAATTTGCAAGGAAACGCCACTGAAGGAACATCCACTGTCGATTTTTACACACACCAGCCTTCCACCTAACCCATCCCATTGTACCATGATGTATGGCGGCCTGGGTACGCTGGGCTACCGCGACAAGATAAATACACTTGTCAAAATTTCAATTTCCGAAACCGTGTTCCATTCAGCGGCCCATTGCCATCGCCGCCGCCGCCGCCATGCAAATTTACGTGCGCTCTGCCTTCTCTCTTTGACTAAAGGCTCTAAATCATTCGACGGTTTTTTTGTCTTTGCGCTGCTTCGGTTAATAAAATGGATCGGTTGGAGTAATAAATACTTACGAGGTAAGTAACTTTGGCGTTTGTTGGCACCTCTGTAGGTATTGTCGGATTGTCGAAAAGAAAAGCGCATGAACTAAATGGAAAATATATTTAAAATCGTTTCACTTATTTTTCATTAAAAAAGGAGGACAATGGCGTAAGTTTTTTTTCTACTGATAATTTAGATCCTTAAGCATAGACTTATACAATGTAAAGTAAGGAGTTTATACTATTCCATCAAGAGAAAATGAGTAATATTTGAGACAAACGCTCGGGCTAATTAGATAATTCATGATGCTATTGAAATAGTTAATTAGGTTGTAAATTATAAGAGATTAGAGCGTTGCAACCCAGTTTGAGCTTAAGACATTTTCAACATCTTCTAAAAAAAGAACAAAAACTTCGATTTTATTGACTCTGCGCTTTCGAAATATGTATAGTGGAAGTTTTAAAATTAACAAAATACTCATTATTGTTTCAAAACGATGACGTAGAGGGCAACTCTTTGATTTAACGCATATATTATGTAAAATAAACACCCGGTATATAATTTATATCATTTGAATGATTCCCTTCGGCGGGTGTTCTACAACCATTGAAGCATCGACGTTTCCCGAAAGTGAACAATCGCTAAAGACGCCCTTTGTGTAAGTGTCAAGGAAGACAATGAGTACAGGGGACGTTCTAATAACTACAAGAGGGACGCGCAATGAATAACGGAAACGAAGTGACATAAATAATAGGGTGGGTGGCGAATTTCACGGTTCTCGTTCGAAGGGACGGATTCGAAAGATTGCATTGATTGCGGAATACGACTGACTGGTCCAATTAGTTTTAATAGAAATTAAATTCGAGAGTTCTATCTGCTGATGGGCTGGACGTATAGAAACAGTTTTGTTTAGTACCTAAAATGAGAATTTGATTTAAGTATGGTTCTCATTAATAGCACTTTATGAATTTATTATTACATTGTCGTGCATGTCTCTTAAAATTTGAATTATGTCAAATTGAGGTTAACAGCAAATTTCTATTGCAAGCATACATTTTGACAACAACATCAGAGAAATTCCGTGTAAAAAATGTCAGAAAAAAAGCCCCATTTAATATCATCAAAAATCGCTTATTTATTAAGGAACACCTATGACTATATTAAATTGGACGGAGTATTTAATACGGGCAAGTCTCTTGAAAGACTGAACACAGCCAAAGTCAGTTCTTTGAATACTATACCCGAATCTTGGATAAGATCAGAAATACACGATTGCAATCGTTCTTCAGAAAGCGAATCCGGTGACGATCACACATCGCGCATTAGGATGCCGCCAAAAAAATTAATTGGAACAAGAAATATTCAAACGTTCATGTCGTACTTGCCTAGTATTACAATTTTTACATTTGCAGGTAATTATTAGGAAATAAGTATCTCTTTGTTTCTACAAAACTATATTTTTTTACCTTTCAGGTCTTTTATGCACCTTGTATGTGTGCGAATGGAAGGAAGTGCTGCAACACGTGCCCTATTATGGAGGCAAATATGGTAAAAAGGACAAATAAATCCAAATGATTAGTGTTAAAATGTAACATGCCTGAACTACTTTTCTAAGTAACTATTTTGATCATTTTTTAAATAAATAATTATTGACTGTATTTTTGTTCGATATGGTTTTGGTTTAAGGGATCATTTAATATTTGGAGTAATCTCATAAAGGGCTAGTAATTTATCAAATATGAAATAGCATCTGATTAGACAGGAAGATAATAAAGGCTTTTTTGATAAATTTCATTATTTAATTATACGAGGTGGTTTCCTTCTAATTTCCAGTTGAGATAAAATGAAAAAAAATTAATGTATACACGCCGTTTAGGTTCACGCAATTCTCACACTTAACCTTATTTGAACCGGGATAATTCCCTAGCGTTGGTCTGACTGAAGATGCGTCACGGAATATCTTCCTCTCTCGCGTTCCGTCCCTATCGCTCGGTGCACGCTTATTTCACCCCAGAGATTAATTATTCACGGCGGCTTCCCTGGTCCCTCATCACATACGTATTATACTTCAGGTGATGTCTTTCAGGCACGACAGTGATACCTTACGGTTTTTAATCGTTTAAAATTCACGCTGTTTGCCAACATTTCTGAATGCCTCGGAAAATAGTTGACAGAATGCGTTATTTATACATACACGCGTTCTTTTTTCGCTGATTTGGGTTTCAACTGTCTTATTTACGAACGAGTGTTACGGCGAGTTGATGGTTTTTTCCAATATACGTGTATATGAACAAAAGACACGACAGTAAATTTTACCGAAATGTTATTATCTGCCTTCTTAGAAGAAGTTTTTTAATATCGGACAGGAGTTTGTCCTCCCCGTGTGGCATCTACGGGAATTCCTATTTCCTACTCTTTCTGCTTGCTAAGTTCACTTTTCCTTCTTCGTCCATTTTATTTTATTCCATTTTTCTCCCTCTGGGCCTACCTATTTTACTATTTGTAGATAAAATGAACTATAAGCTAGAGACACTTTTAACACAATAAACTTTTTTCACCGGAACGTCCGCAACCAGCAATTCTGCTATATTAAATTACTAATTTATTTCTCAAATATTTACCGATCAAAGTGATCTCATGTGTATTCCGAATATATTTAGTGCACGCTTTCATGTGGTGTATCTACTTACAATAAAACATCTAAATTTAGTGCAGGATCTCATGACAATCCCTTATAAAATCTCTTTGTAGATTGTTACGAAATTCGACGCAAGTTCTCTCCTCTTTATCTCTCGTCTGCTTCTCTCCCCGGCCGGTATTTCTCGAGTACCTATTTCCGAAAATAAAATAAATATCTTTATAGCTTCGGCATCGCACACAAAGCAACCATATACATGTCCAGGGTCGACTTGCTTACGTATCATATTAAATAAAATTAAGGGAAAAAAGGTAGGAATAATACAAAAAAATCGTTTAAATATGGTTAAAAAAGAAAATTAGCGATACTTAAAAATTAAATATTGTATTAACTCAACTGCTTTTAAGTGTTTCCGCTCATTAGGTACATTAGAAAAGTTATGCTCTATTTATTAGTAAAGAGTGTCAAGTTGGGAATTTTTCATGGGTTCACGAAAATTACTATTAATACGGCCCTGTTTATGCTATACTTTGCTGAAGAACAGTCGCATGTGTGACTATTTCAAAGAATACGCTAGGGCGTTGTTGCACTTAGTAGCATTTTTTACTAAGACAGGGGTAGAATTTCCTCAAAGGGTGTCCATCTGTTTAGCGACAAACATATTGGTAAAAACGTTCTCGTTCAATGAAGAGGAAGTAACACTTGTTGGAAATGAATTCGACGTTTGTCAAAACAAAATCCCTTTAACGGTATTAAGTGCATCCTGCTTTTTAAGTACGAATAAATACGAAATAAAATTTAAGTTACGGTATACATAATATTTAAAAGTTCCTTTTTCGTTGTATCCATTTTGCGAGTAATCCTTTTATACGTATACCGAAATAAAAAACTTCCGCAAATATTTACCTTTCGTTGTTTTCCTTCTAAAATAAACACGCTCTTTTTTATAAAGCTTTTCTCTTAGTACGTTTTGTCTCTAATGAAAAAAGCGTTCGACACCTACCGAAAAAATAACGAAAATAAAAACGTGTGTGGATTTTCGTTGAGTTGTGGTTCTGTTTTACGACGGCCGTATATCGTTTATCGCCGTCTTCGAATACTCTTTTTTTATATAAATAGTCTGGATGATGATCGAAAAAAAGCAAACAGCAAATCAACGGGTCGTGCCGACAGAGGGATGGGCGACATTTTTATGTAAACAAATACTTACACAATTATTACAAGTGCTACCGCTTTAGAGAATTAGAGATTTTGTAACTCACACCAGAAAATACAATATGGGGTAATGAATAATAGTTATAGCAAAACAAAAAAAGTTTATCTTTAATATTTGATATTGAATAAAAAATCATTAACTTTTAACAAATCGATGTAATTATATCTAATTATTGGAATGTAAAATCCACTTCCTAACTGCCTGATAAGTGTGAGCTATTTATTTTTGTTCTAGGTAAATTTGGAAATAGTGTTCTGGATGTTCGAATTAAACTGTCGTTTTATCAACGTCTTTGGGAACAGATAGAGACAATTTTCAAAGATGGGCATTTCTTATCTAAACATTTAACTGTCATTTGAAGTAACTAATGCTTATATATTCGAGGAATCTTGAGCCGTAAGTCTATTCGTTATTTTCGTTTGAAGCGGTTAGTCGAATGAAAAATGTTCGTTTTTCCGAAAATACTACATTGAAAAATTTAGTGCCAAAGTGAGTATTTCCAGAATTTTGTTTGTTCAGTAGTTATAAATAGTTTACAGTTTATATAAGGTTCCTTCCTACCAAATTGAACAAATATTAATTTAACTAATAAATTTTATTAATTTGAATACGTATTTTTTAACTCGAACATTCTTCTATTAAGGATGAGACTATTCAGGATGAAAAAATCTGATGGTTTATTTCATTTGAAATAGAAAAAAAATCAATCTATAAAGAATAAATAGGACACTGTACAAAATGTATAGGTACTTCGTTAGATCTCTATTTGAAATATTTACTTTAAAGGTTGGCAGTAGTTTTCCTTATTTTTCCAACTTTATTTATTTTAAACATGACAAAAATATCTAACAGAAATAGAAATTTAATTGAACAGGACCCCGAGTAAAGTGCGCTTTGATGCCTGTTTACTTTTTTCCTTCGTTATTAGGCTCCAACCCTCTCATAATAAGGAAAGTACAGCCTGAAGGCAATTTACCCCTGAAACCAGGGCGACTTCTTAACAGTTCACTTTCCTCAAATATTTAGTCTAAACAACTACTCTGATAGTTGAAATCCATCCGTCTAAAATAAACATTGTAAAAAATAAAAAGAAATCTTAACGGCACGGGTTTTCTTTTACTCAAAGGCCACCGTGTTGTTCGAACAAATAACCAAATGTCGGGTGGAGGTCTTTGAAAGGAGTCACGTTTGATCAACATAAGTTAAATTTAACCTCAGAATAATTTAAGGATGTACTTTGCATTCCGAATGGCCGTCTTTATTTGTAGTCCTTTTTGATTGAAATAACGGACCAAAAATTGCAATTCGCTTGTGATAAAAGGCGTACTGTGCTAAAAAAATTGACTAACAAACTACCTAGGGCATATTTATTACTAAAAATATAATTTTACAAAAACTGTATTTTTAAACTTTTGACACTTTGACACCTACCTTATTTTTATAGTTAAAAGGCACGAGGCTCTAGCTAATTGAATATATTTTTTTCATTCGTTTGTTCCAATAAATTTAATGTCAATAACAGATGCATAATTTTTGTAAAAACACATTGTTTAGCCGACATTGAATGAGAAGCCATTTTCATTTTACTATTGTTATCACAGAACATCTATTGTTATTTTGTTAACATGGATTCTTTTGTAGGTTAAATCATTTTATATTAACTACGCTGCAGTGGATGTACAAATAAGATAAAAATGAAAAATAACTTTTATAATAAATATGAAATATTATTCGTCGGTTAAATCATTGATGAATTTTAATATTTAATTTATTTTTAAAACTGCAAATATTTTTGGTAAAAACAATACACGGACAATCCCACCAGATTTTATAACGTTTATCATTTAAAATCGATTTTACTCATAATTGAGTGATTTTAATTCAGTTCAACTATTTATTTAACGAATAATGCTTATTTTACATTCATTATATTACCTTTAATTATAACCTGGATATACACCGGGACATTATTTTTTCCTTTAATTTATTCGACCATTTTGATTTATTCAATCATACAGGGTTATACTTACTTTAGAACAAAATTCGTGAATTGATAACTAAAGAAAATGTTGTAGAATCTTTCAATATACCTTGATCACTATCACCCTACGTACCCATAATATATTCACAACCGGTCGGCGAGAGAATGCCAGATTATCCCGTCTAATAAATAGTAATTTGGAGAATTCCAGCTGACGCCCTCAAGATTCGCCTGCGGGAGGACTCGGACCGTCCGGCTTAAGTCATATGGGGATAGGAGCTTTCGTAGGCTGCGAGAAAAATGCGATAAGATCGGCTCCAAGGAAGGTGCACCGAAAAAAACCTCTGCCTAACTAACATTTAAATACTAGATTATGGCCATAAAAAATTATTAAATGATCCCATTTGCCTGCGAGCGGTATAAATCGAGGGATGGAATACATATTTTCGTCGAACGTATAGAAACGAATTATATTATGAGTACGAACATCCGCCGAAGGTCCCATACCTTCTACTTCTACGGAACAAGAAGTTTTTTTTTTTATTTAATCCTAAATCTCGGTTCCTGCGAGCTGTTTAGCATTCAGTGCGTATAATACATTGGTTTTTGTTCCAACGAGTTTTACTAGGAAAAAATCAATTGTGACGCGGGTTTTTTCCTCTTGTCGAGATAATTAGCATTCACATTAGCGCATCGACGTCCCTTCGAAATTAGAAGTCCGACGAGACCG